GGCCCGCGGCCCGAGAAGAAGCCAGAGCGGGCTTCGCTTGCGCCTGGGGGGGCGGCGGGGTGATTCGTGCAGTCGCAAACCGGGTTACGTCCGTTGGAGTTCGGATTTCCTTCTTCACTGGCCGCCGCTGTGGGTGCCGGCTCTGTCCCCGCTTCGGATCTGGACCGGGGCGGCTTCAGGCCCAGAGGCGGGGGCGCCAGCCTTTAACCCAGCCCGGCCGCTGCGCTTCTCCCCAGAGCCTTGCGCAGGACGAGGACGTCTTAGATTGGACCGTCTGTTAGCTGCCTCAAGGGCCAAAGCCGCAGTTTTGGGGCCCTTCTTTTCTGGGAAGTTGGCAACCTCGCTTGGATGCCTGTGAGAAGTTCCGTGCTGGGGAGTTTGGTGAGTGTCCTGTCTGAAAGAGAGAAAGGAGGTTGGGGCTAGGTGGGGACAACGTGGCCCTTTCTCCATCATCTTCGGTGGCTTATAAATGTCGATTTACAGAAGTTCATAGATGAGAGCCATCTATCTTGTTTTTAATGGCTGGTGCAGAGTGAGAGAGCCCTTAATGAGGAGGCTAGCAATGGGGACAATGCCAAGATGCCTGATCTAGGCTGGTTCGCACATTAAACTAGACTAGACCATAACTGAGTGGCTAAGTCTGGGCATCTGCATGATGTAGGAGAGCACGCTGGTGTTTTCTTTGCAAGTTGTGTGAACCACACCGTCACATTCACCCCTAACAGGGTGTATTTCCTTGGGCAGAGCCGCCCATGTGAACAGCCGCGGTGTTCTGTTAACCTGAATTTAAGGTTAAGCATGTGTGAACACAGCTGCAAAAGACCATTCTGTGTTTTGGATGAATTTGGCTACCAAGTGCAATTCAAGGTGCTTGTTGTCAACATTTGTAGCTCAGGACCCGGGTATCTGCAGGACTGCTGACTCCCAATTCTTTCTCCCCACCCAGTTAAATCAAGAAAAGTGGGTTTTCTCCAAGAAAAGTGGGCTTTCTCCAAGTTCCCTCTTTTAAGGGTTTTTGGAGGTGGGACATCTCAACCGCTACCCCCAGTGTTGGAACAGCCATCCCTCCCCAGAAATTCAATGTGCTTCAACATTATTGGGACTCTAGAAAGGAATCAAAATGTGGTTCCTTTGAGGGGGAAATAGACCATGAGATTTCTTCTGTGTAGGAGAATATGATTGTAAGGGTTTTCAGTGGTTCCTTGGCATAGCATTTACTATGTAGTGTTTGTTTATCTGGTTATTTCTCAAAAGTTGCTTTAGTCCTGTTTACACATGGAAGAACTGTAAAGAGGACTAAAGCAACTTCAGTGAAAATGGGTGAAGAAATGATGGAGAAAGAAATATATTGGAAGCAGGGAGCCGAAAGGGGTTTTCAAAGGAATCTGTTGGCCTGGGCAAAGAACCTGGGGGGCTCGTAACTCGTTTCTCAATTTTGCTGATCAGAAAAGCAGGGGTGCAATTAGATGTCCCTCCTCATTTTCCAAATTGCTACAAGTGACTGGCACTTTGATTGTGTCATATTTTGGGATCCAGCCAACGTGCCTTCTCTGTCACTGCATTTGCCCTATGGAACAACATTTCCCCAAGATACAGAGGGCCCCAGTCATGCCTGCTTTTCTTAAAGCCTCCAAGACCTGGCTGTTCCGCCAGGCACTGGGCCAGGAAGATCTGTGATCCCATGCAATGCAATGGTTTTCTTTGTTGAATTAATGGCCTTGGCGGAATTGCCGGTACAAGTTTTGTTATATTTTATGATAGCCTTATTTCTGTTCCTTTTGTTTTTAATTGTGCACCACCCCACGTCGTACAGTTTGGAGGGGGCAGCTACATAAATCAAATAAATAAATATTTCATTTCATTTCGTGCCACCCTTCCTTCAGAACGCTGCGTTCAGCTCTGCGTGCTGAATGTTAAGAAGATGGTTGCAAAGATGAGAAGGAAAAGGGAAAAACTCATTTTCTAAGAAGGGCTTCAGGGTTTAGAGACAGGGGGTGGGGTGAGGGGAGCAGACAGAATAATCCCTTTCAAATAATTCAATGGTTGGTGCCTGTCAAAGAAGAAAAAGCATGTTTTGCTGTCGCAGAACTCAGAACAAAGTGTCATGGGTTAAAGTTACAAGAGAGTGGGTTTCAGCTGATCCACAGAGAGAAATCTTGATAAAGCCAGCTTAATGATGGAATGCAGGAAATTTAGGAGATTAGGGCTCTCCACTGCGGGAGGGGGAAATTTTCTTTGTAGAAGATATTTCCCCATTGCAGCAGGGAATCCACCTTTAGGGGCTGCGCACACATGTAACCTTGCTGTTACATCACCTAGGGTTGTGCAAACCTGTTGGGTCTCTGCTAGATGTGTAACCAGCAGACATGCAGCCATATAAACTTTGGCGGATGGAAATAAAGTTAGAGAAGCTGCTTATTGCTCAAAGTGGGAGGTGGGAGTTGGTGGTAGGGAAAGGAATCTATGGGTGTGGAAAGTGTGTATGGGTGGAATCTGAGAGTACATTGAGGTGCGTAAATGGTGTGCAAGAAAGTGTATGGAGTGTCTGGCGGACTTAAAGATGGCATTTGCCAAACACGGTTGATGGGGTTATTGAATTAAGCCATTTTCTAGGACCACGCAGGGCACTGAACGCTAAACTTACTCAACAGGGTGGTTTTGTACAACACCCAAAGCTACATGCACACACATATCCATACACACACAAGTAACACATTGCCTGTTCGGTAGATGCAACCATCAGGGCTTTAACGGGCCTGGTGAAATGCACTGGGCAAACCCAGCTGGTGTGTCAGTCCGTTGCAAGTGGTGTGTGTGGACATCACAGTGGAACATTCTGCGTAGCATTCTTCTACTTGATTTGCTCATTTGGGGCTCAGCATCATAAGATGCCTCCAGAGGGGGCATTCTCTGGAAATGCGTGTGTGTTTTGGGGTCCAACCTACTGAATCTGAAATATAAAGCTTCTTTTTAAAGCCTTTTGCCCCTTAGGTGCAGCAAGTGTGCCCAACACCACCTTCTTGGCAGGCCACAGGGCCTCCCTGCCCACCTGTGGGCTTTTGGGACATTTTAAATAAAAGCAGATCCAACAGGGAGCTTGCATACCGCACAGCCTCCAGCATCACCTTTCTGGCCGGGCGTCTCATGCGGGCCCCAAAGGCAGCTTTTGAAAACAAAAATGTTGGCTGCCCGCAGCCAAGGCCTTCTGCTTGCATGGGGTGGGCAAAACAAAGGGTGATTATGCAAAACATGCTTGCAAACCAGACTCCACTGGGCAAAGCTGGGTTAGCGTTAAGCTTGGGAGAGGTTGTGTGTGACTCTTAGCACTTTGGGGGAGCTGTTCAGTTCAGTGCATTGTGCAAAGCAAGAAGGTGGATCAGTGGGGGAGCCAGGTTATAAGAGGGTTGTGCGAATCCAGCCAGAAGTAAGCAGGTGGTAGAGAACACACTGAAAGGGTAGAATGGTCTTGCCAGTTTGCATGCTGGTTTGCCCATCATATATTCTCAAAATGCGATGTTGAAGATCCTGGCCTGAGAAAATGCATCATTCATTCGTCCCCTTTGAGTTCAACACACAGCTAAGATCTAGGGCTGAACCCATGAAGTCCCAAACTGAGTTGCACCTTGGGTCTAAAGGAGTCATTAAAAATCCCATAATGCCTCTGATGTAATATTACCCAGGGGACTGTGGGAAATCTAAAATGGTGGTTCACAGCCGCCCACTCCTGTGGCTGTAATCTCTGGCTATGAGTCCTCAAACAGGTTAAATCTGAGAGACAAAGTAGTTGTGATGCTCCTGGCATTTGGGTGTAGCCCTCTTCAAACACCCGGATGTGCAGATTTACTAACTGTGAGAACACATAGCAGAATAATGCTTACTAGTAATACCCAACAATGGTTATGTTTTCAGGGTAAGTGTGACTAAGATGACCCGTGCTTTAAGATAAATATTTAGGGTTTTTTCATTCATGCAGGAACCCTGATTGGTTAGGATGTCACTCCGTCAAAGAGGATACGTGATGGGCTCTACTACACAGAGGGCTATGCTGTGGGACCATTTAAGCTTGCTGTAGACAGGAGCCAACCCAATGACTAGGTTCCCACAATATATGGAACAACAAACTACCCCGAACCATTCTAACCTAGTTGACCTATTGTGTGAACCAAGCCTATAGAAGGTTGAGTGTCAAAAAATGGTTGATTTCCTGCCTTTGGGGCTATATTGACGACTTTGGTAGGGCTTCTAAGATATAGAGAACATTTTTGCTTTATGCTGTCAGCTGGTTTATTAGTAGTAGTGCTATTTCACTCAAGGACCAGTTGATGGGTACGACCCATTTGGGAAGTGCCAAATCCAGATTGTTTTTTCCCTCGTGGTCTAGGCTTTTTGCTTGTGTTGCAAAATTATTTCAGAATTGTGGTATGTCCCCTTGAAAGTTCCATTTCTGGGCAGGATAACGACCCCTAAAGATTTTCAGTCAATGAAATAGGAAGCATGGAAGGGGGGCATTGTGGAAATGCAAGATTGGGGGGCCAGCAGAGCTGTTGATTCAGCTGGATCAGTTGTGAATTTCTGTTGGGTTCTGTGTGTGTGTGTGTGTGTGTGTGTGTGTGTGTGTGTGTTCCCCTTTGAAATGCTC